CCTCCTGAGCGCTATTGTGTAATACAGCTAATTGCATAATGATCTCTTTTCCAAGTGAAATCTGCTTCTCCTGCAACTCCTAGTTTAGCCATCCTCTTCCATGCCTACCTAAAGCACAGAAGACCCTTGAGGCCCCAATCCAGAGCTGTGGCTTTGAAACCCCCAGCCCACGCAGGGCCTGGGATTGGCCTGGCTGCATGGCAGTATCTGCATAGGTGTAGACTGCCATCTTCCTTTTCAACTTAAGCAGAAAAACAGAAGTGCCAGGGAATCATGCAGACAGTCCTGTGGTTCCTTTTCCCCCTGTAAGGCAGCAGGCAGCTGTTTATCTGAGAGAAACAGCTTTGCCCAGTGGAACGTTTATTTGGTTTCTTTGGCTGATCCTGGGAACACACCTGCCACTTTGCCACTTCCTGCGAATCAAGCAGTTTCTTAGAAAAGGGACACATTCCTTAAAATATATTATGTGGTTTCAGGGTGAGATATGGTTTCTTGGATTTTTATGATTTAATGTGTCTGCAAAAACATTAAGCCACAGATAAAAATACATTGACTGCCCCTTATGAGAAACTGGTCTTTCCTTAGAATTAGGGGGCTGGTCATTTTAGTTTTTATGCTGGGTTTTGTTGTTTTTAAGTTTTCATTTGCTCCTCTTCCTGTTTCTCAGCACTCCTCATGCTGTAGACATACCATGTGTGGGCCGTCATTGATACAGTACACTGCAGTTATCAACCAAAATAATTTAGACTGAACTTGTATAAGAAAAAGGCAAGTAGCGAAAATAATTTTCTTAGATCTTATTTTTTAACGTCCCACTTTCAGAGCATGCCTTGGGGATGCTCTGAAAGTGGTATATTAAAAAAATAAGATATAAGTTATAAAAAAAAGATATAATATACATTATAAAAATAAGATGTAATATAAATTATAAAAATATATAATATAAATATATGAAAAAATGTTTAAAATATATATTACATCTACTAGGATACAGATCTTTCTTGACTCACAATGGGCTTTCATCCTGATAAACCCATCATAAGGTGAAAATATTGTAAGCTGAAAATATATTTAATACACCTAACCTACTGAACATCATAGCTTAACCTAGCCTACCTTAAATGTGCTCAGAACCCTCACATTAGTCTACAGTCGGGCAAAATCATCTAATATATAGTCTACTTTATACTAAAGTGTTGAATATCTCATGTAATTGATTGAATACTGTACCGAAAGTGAAAACTAGAATGGTTGTCTGGGTACAGAATGGTTGTCATTGTATCGCTTTTTTACCCTTGTGATCGCATGGCTGAGTGGGAGCTGTGGCTGCTGCCACTACCCAGCATCAGGAGAGGAAAGGACAGCATATCGCTAGGTCCGGGAAAAGATCAAAATTCAAAATTTGACGTATGGTTCCTACTGAATGCATGTTGCTTTTGCACCATTGTAAATCATAAGTTGAACCATTGTAAGTCAGGGACAGTGTGTATATATTTAATTTTATTATTATTTTTTTGTGTGAGAATCATTTTTGCTTTAATTTGCTTCCTGATCATCATATAGCAATAAATAGACATAGAACATTTTCTAATTATTTTCTGGGTTGGGTAGGGGTGAAAGGGAAGATCTGGAAAATCAGGAGTATATTAACTCAAATTTCAGCACATAATTATTCAAATAAAATTTTAATGATTTCAGTTCAATACAACTAAAAATGCAGTGTGTTAAAGGACATTTTCTACTAAATTTCAAATTACAGGTTGTGGGTCATTTCTAAGCAAGAGTATCATATCCTACTGAGTATTCAACTTATTAACTAAGGTGATTGACAGGGTAGGAGGTGGGGGAGAACAATGATCAGCTCATAGAATTTGGCTAAGAAAGGAAACAAACAAAAACAATGCAAATAGTAATCAAAATAGCTACAAGGCTTCCCTGGTGGCGCACTGGTTGAGAGTCCGCCTGCCGATGCAGGGGACACGGGTTTGTGCCCCGGTCCGGGAAGATCCCACGTGCCGCGGAGCGGCTGGGCCCGTGAGCCATGGCCGCTGAGCCTGCGCGTCCGGAGCCTGTGCTCCGCAACGGGAGAGGCCACAACAGTGAGAGGCCCGAGTACCACAAAAGAGAAAAAAAAAAAAAAAAAAAAAAAAAAAAGATAGTGCCTGTGTGCTTGTGAACTTCTCATCTGCTGATAGGACATTTTGCTTAGCGAAGGTTCTTTCAAATTTGTAGGTTCCTGCTCCAACTGTGGTGCATACTGGATTTCTGGCTTAGACTGGAATATAACTATTTTTCCATCAGCAGCTTGAAGATAAAAAGTCCACGAAGAGGTTAAGAAGCTCTGTGAACAGTCCATCATATCACTCCAGAATGACCTTACCAGAGTTAAGAGGGAAGACTAGATGCATTTTTGGCATCAGGGACATGAGTTGTTCTTGTCTCAATTCAGCAAATGGCAGCTGATTCTGGCACCCAGGGTGGCAAACATATTGCTCATCAGATTGGGAATATGCTTCTGTACATGCAGATTCACCTTCCAATTTGGTCTGATTTAAATCAGTTCCATCATCCACAAATTGACAAATTGAAAACAGCCTGCAACCTCTCTGACATGTGTACAACTCCTCTTGCTTGGAGTAGGTGTGCGAGGGGTAGGTCAACTGGCAGGCCCGGTGACAAGATGACGTATCACCCAAAACCGAGTCAAACGCTTCAGCCAAAGTGGTCCCTGAGCCTCCAGTCAGGGCCATGGTCAGCAGCAGCAGCAATGGCGAGAGACCCAGTTGGGCCCTGACCCAGAGGCTCCCATTCGGTGCCGCCATTTTGTTTGTCTCTGTCACAGCAGGTCAGCTTGTTGCTCTATATATTTTATTTATATATATATATACACACATATACACACACACATACATATATATACTGGGCTGTATCTAATTCTTGTGCCTATATCTGAAATACTCTACAATCAGACCTAATTGTTATGGCAAATAGCTAAGAGATAGCCCTGAACGTATCTATTAATAAAGTACAAGTAGATTTATATTTAGTATACTACACTTACTAAGACAGGAAAGAGGACCATGAACATTGTGGAACATTTTTCAAATGAGTATTTAGAACTGATTCCCCATATATTTACCAGACAAATGTGAGTAATCAGCATACCCTGTTTCCAGAACTTTCTATACTAAGGTTTCCTTATAGGAAGAGACAGTCGAGCATTAGATAAGAATGTGAAATTGGAGAGTCAGATTGGCCCCGGTTCATATCGTGACCACAATCATGACACCTTGACCCAGATACTTGGCCTCTCTCATCGAAAACTGCTCATCTTTAAAATGGGTGTTGTGCTGGTATCTGCCTCTCACGGTTCCTGTGAAGATTAAGACAGTGCAGGAAGAGTCCTCAGCACAGTCCCTGACCCATATGAGATGTGCCACCAATGCTTGCTCTCGTGATCATGGCTGCCGCCATCTTCTCCGTCATCATCATTGTCATCACCATCTTTTTTTTTTTTTTTTTTTTGCGGTACACAGGCCTCTCACTGTTGTGGCCTCTCCCGTTGTGGAGCACAGGCTCCAGACGCGCAGGCTCGGTGACCGTGGCTCACAGGCCCAGACGCTCCACGGCATGTGGGATCTTCCCGGACCGGGGCACGAACATGTGTCCCCTGCATCGGCAGGCGGACTCTCAACCACTGCGCCTCCAGGGAAGCCCTGTCATCACCATCTTAATGATTGCCCTCTACCTGTCAGGGCCTTTGCTGTAGCCAGCTCCTTTCTCCAAAGGGACTTGGGTTTGAGGGACTTGCATTGTGTGATGTTGTGATTCAGTGTTTCTAGGAAGTTAGGCTAGGATAACAAGCAAATTTCTGAGTCTTATATAGAACTTCTAGAAATAGTTAATTGACCTTTTATGTCTTAGATTATTTATCAGTAAACTTAGATAAGTGCTGCCGTGTTAGCACTTGAGAGTGTGACATCTTCTGCTGTCACAAGCTTCCAATGCCTAATGGTATTGATACCTGATCTGAGATTAGGGAGATTTTGGCTCCTCGGCTTTCCTGTTCGCTTTCGGATCTGAAAGCAGCACCTTGAGAACAAGGAGGCCACGCAGAGGTCAGACTCCTGCCATGCTTCCCTTTTCAGATGACTGCCTCATGCCTGGAGACCTTGAAAACTGATCTTGAAATCCAGGGCTGGGTCTGTTCAGTGGTTTTTTTTAAAGAATTAAAATAGAATCTTTCAAGGGCAGAAGTCTCCTCTCTTCTTCCTTCTCCTCATCCAGGCAAGCCCTGCTCTTCCTGAAGGTGACACGTAAATTTATACCAAGGTAGCTTATCTACAGGGCTTGCGGGGTGTTCATAGAGTTAATGCTGCATTTAAGGGGGCACGGAAGTACCTTTGTTGTCATGCCAACAGCATTCCCTTCCTGGTGAGCAGCACCGCTGAGATGGATGACAAAGGTTCAAATCCCTGCTCTGCCAGTTATTAATTGGATGACTCTAGGCAAGTTAATTTCATGCAACTTCTTTGGGTCTCACTTTCATTACCTGTAAAATGGGGGTAAGAAATAAGACTGCCTTATAGGGCTGCGGTGAGATTTAGTGGTTAGTATAAAGCACTTGGAACTCTACCAGGCACATAATCAGGGCTATGTGAGAGTTTGTTATTGTAGTTAATTTTACCTTTTACCTTTACCAAGTAACTACTCGGGCTGTGACCTTCCCTAATTTTTCTAAAAGCTGAATAAAAGGCCCAGATGTTCTTCACATACAAGTCAGAAAAGAAACAAAAATAGAGGTTTCACATGGAGGTGAAGGATTTTACATCCTTGGTCTGAAGGATGTAAAACCTGTCAGATGTACTTTTCCAAGTGGGGGAAACCAGAGTTTTTGGACAGGGAGCAGTGGGCTGGGGAGACCGAGAGGGGGCTGTTTGCTGGAGTCCTGGGAACGAAGGGAGGTTTGCCTGAGAGGCTGTCATCTGGAGACCAGAGTGTTCCTGCTTAATTTAAGGCATGCTGTGAAGGGCTCCAGAATGTGTTAAAATGGAATTAGTTGTAATATACTTCAGTTGAGAAACCCGTGGTATTTTCAGGAAGGGAAGAAGAGAAGTTTGTAGGAAGCAAGCAGCCCCAAGGTTGCAGACACGATGGAGGCTTGGGGACTGTGTTTTGTGTGATCCACGGGGAGAAACAAGCCTTGCAGGGCTCAAGGATCTTACTTGAGACCTGCCCTGTCGATGGGAAGGGATGCCTAGGCTTCCTGTGGTGAATGCTGCACCTGTCTAGTTAGGAGAGGCAGCTCTTCATGGAGGGGTAACTGGTGAAGGGGAGGAATCCCTTAGAAAACTTCAGGCACATGGAACAGAGCATGCAAGCAAACTGCAATCCCACATCGATCCCAGAGTGCTTTTTCTCCCACTGGGCGGCCCATCCCATGAGGACTTGAGAACACACAGAGGCTGGGCCTTTTTCATCTCTGGATTTCCAGGAATGGCTCAAGAGATAGTTAGGGGTCTATGTTATGGATGAATTACAAATTTGGGACGACCTAAGAAGTAAAACTTTGAAATGGGACTGGCGCTGATACAGGGAGGACTGGACTGGACCTTGGAAGCTCACATCACTTGTGTTCTCTCACAATCTGCCCCCTTGTTACTTGAAGCAGGGTGAATATGAGGTGTTCCCACTGTCACCTGACCTTGTTGATGGAATAAAAAAGGTAGGACAGGAAGGAAGGAAGGGAGGAAGGGAGGAGGGGAGAAAGGAAGGAAGGAAGGAAGGAAGGGAGTCTTTTGTGCATACATTCAGCTTAGACCAGTTCTGCATTCACCTCTGCTTGTTGAATTTGGATCCTGTGATGTGTGTGCGTGTTATGGGTGTGTGCGTGTGATGGTTGTGTGTGTGTTGTTTTCCTTTCCCACCCTCTCCCCATCAATCAATTTAAATCTTACCACTTGCAAAGGTGGTTGTAAACTAAAACAAAGTGACCAAATATCACAGTTCAGATTCATGCTAATAGAGTGATTATTCAGAGATAATCTCACCCCTTTTTCTTCTGAAATGGTGTCTTTCAGAGCCTTAGCTGTTTGGTTCCATTGAAACACAGCAGGACCTTGATACACTTTTGGAGAGAGTGAAGATGAACCCCTGCAGAATAGAATGTCGTTAAAATTGGTAGCTGGGGCCCTGGTTTTCATGTGTTGTAGGGTAAAGTTTTGCAAATTGCTTACTCTGTCGGGGGTAGAGACCTAAATCCTCCACCGTGCTAACTAATTGGTGATGCTTAATTCATATTTGTGGATTGCTAGATGTGCCGTTTAATTAAAAGACACACCTAGTTGCATGATTCCACAGAAACTTGCCAGGGTTCCCTGGTGTATTTTACAAATGAAATTAGGCTTTGTGGGAGTTGTAGAATTATAGATGTATGTATATTTCTTTTAATCTCAAATGCAAGAATAATATTTCTGAATCCGGTTTCACTTCCTGTCCTTAGCTTATGCTTTCATCTTTTCTCTATGCTATTTATTTGTAAGTATACTCCAGGATTTGTTTAGAATTCAGATAATTTTGTTGACTCTGTAGTCAGAAAATTCATTGATTTGGTTCCCAATTTCTACATAACGAACAACATTAAAAAGATACAAAGACTCTCTTCTATTTTCTCATCTTTTATCTTAGCCTTATTAATATCTATGTAACAATATTTTTTTTTTCTTTTTTTTTTTTTTTTTTTTTTTTTTTTGG